GGGCCCGGGCGCGGGGGAGGGGGGCGCCCGCGCGGAGCCTCCTCGAGCCGAGCGCCACGCGGGGTAACCCCCGGGTCCGGGAGCGCAGCGGGGCTGAACCCAGGGAGGCCCCATGGAAGCCTCCCCGGCAGCGCGTGCCGGGAGCAGCGGGGTGCCCGCTCCCCGCGCTGCTGCCGCTGCCCTTCGCGAGCGGCAGCCGGCACCGAACGTTCCTGCACTGCAGCTGCAACATGAGCACAAACCGAAACAGAGCTTTCCTTGGCTATATCATGTTGTTGTAAACTATTATTTAGTTTTGTTTTTCAGTTCTTATTTTAATATGTTGATTTCTGGTGTTCCAGAACTGTGTAATAAGGTACTTCAGCTAAAACACTAAACCAGTGGCTATTAATATAATTATCAGCTTCATGACAGTTTTCAGGCAAATTAAAAATCATGGGCACGGGAGGTTTTGCAAAAATGACATAAGTGACAAAATAGCAATAGCTCTGTGAACCCCTTCTGAGCAAGGGGTTTGCTAGCAGAGCATCTTTATCAAAAGCAGTGAGAAGTTGTGCTTAAAACGGGACAACCTGGCAGTGCTCATCTGAACACCCTGCGCTCTTTTGACTAGCAACACTTTTATCAACTTCTTAGTTTATACAAGTTGTTGCAGCGAGCCGTCTGGTTGGTTGCCAGGGTTTTGTTTGGGTCTGCAGGCGCTGGTGTGCGGGTGCCCTGCGCGGCCCTGGTGCTGCGCGAGGGGAACGCGGCCGCGACGCGAAGGGGCTGCGAGGCCTCCTGTGCGGAATGCCTGGAGGAGCCGGGCAGGAGGCGACAACCGGGGGAATGCGGGTGAACAAGGTGCCAGAGAGGAAGAGGGAAGAGCTGCTCCACATGTGTTCGATGAAACAATAGTTGTCATGGATGGTTTTCCAGCAGCAAAAGGTCACGGATTCGGGATTTTTAATTTAGTGCCTTAGGATCAGATAAAATACAAGCTGTTGATACTGTTGGTTGCTTTGTGTTCTTCTTCTAACGTTTATTTGTCTCTTCCTTGTTGATATTATTAGAAGAAAATCCCGAAGGCGCAAGGGACGTTTGATGGGGAAGGTAAGACCTTTTCTATATGGACTTGATGATGTGCTGAAATCACAGGAGAAATGAACCTCAGGATCCCTTTTTTACAGTTCTTGAATACTGGCACAAAGTCCTTGGTTTTCAATAATTTGACTGTAGTCTTGAATTGCAGCTTCAGCAATAGGCCCTTTGGCAGTATTTTAAAGAACAGAAGGGCAGGTTCCAGGTGTGGCTTCGTTTTCAGGGTTTCCCCTCCCCTGCGGTCTGTAGGACGCAGGAATAGGGCCGCGCGGAGCGGGACAGTCCCCGTGTCCCTCCCCGTGCCCGCGGGGGCAGCGCGGGGCTCCCTGCCCTGCTAGTCCCGTGCTCCTCTTGCTGCGGAGGCTTCGGCTGCCGGAAAACCCTGCCCGGGCATCTGCGTCCTCGTGCCGTGAGCTCTGCCAACTTACTGCTTTTCCCAGGATTTCAACTGCACGCAAATTCCTCCCAGGTTGCAAGTCCGTGGATGTGTGGAATAACTCCATTACAGTAACTGTTGCTCTCTTGGCTTTCCCTTGCTTCCTGCCCCCTTAAGGTTGTCTAAGCTGCTGTGTTATCTTGCTTTTCCACTTGTCTCTATGTTAAAACTGCCCACAATGTTCCCATTTGCATGGCCCGCTATCTTTTTTTCCCATCTTTTCTCACATTCTCTCCTAATTATATCTTCTAGACTCTCTTTCAATTGTTCCCTTTTATCTTGGACCAAACCCAAATAATAACTTTCTGTGTAATAGTTTGCAGAATTCCATTGCTATCTACAATTTCCTGTCTTTTAGAATATGTAAATACTGTAGGCACTTTCCAAATAGCAAAAATGTATGTATATGTATGTATGTTGCTTGTACAAGAGGTCACACCTCGTACAATATTTCGGTGGAGCTGTGCAGTCAGAGCAGGTAAAACGGATCTGCCCAGACTGGTGTAAAACCTGAAGCTCCCGCTGTGCGCAGAGTAGACAGATCTTGTACTTGTTCCTCCTCTCCCCTGTGTGGGGGAATCGGACGGCGTCCGAGACGCGGCCGTGTCCGACGCTCCTCGTGGAGCTTCCCTGCACAGCAGGCCGGGCTCGAGCGCGTTCGTTGCTGGGTGTCTCCGTCCTTCCCCCGGGCTGGTCCCAACGCTGCGGTGGAGCGGGTGGCAGAGGAGGGATGTGCTCCCGCGCCCAGCCTGGCAGTGATGTGGTGAGCTAGCAGGGGCGTCCAGTACACGTAACACGTGTTCAGTTCAGCACAAGCCTCATGCAGACACAAAGGTAAATGTTTATTGTGCTTTGCGGTTTCTCTCTGGAGTAGTTCTGTCTTCAAAATCTCTGAAACTTGGTTCCTTTCCTTCGCAGTGAAGTGTGAAGGCTGTTGAAAAGTGACAGATTGGGAAGCAGCATGGGTGGTGGATTTATAATGGTCATCTATATGAAGAGAGCCAGCCCTCTGCATTAGTGACAGCGCTCTGCTGACACGCGTATTCTGTTCTTTAAATCCCTGCTAGTTATGAAACACTGTACAACAAACCAAAGAAGAAAAAATTCTTATGTTTTTATTTTTTCTTGACAAAGAGCACATCTGTATTTTAATTCAGGCAGCAGGATCCTTTCTAGCAGTGGTACAGTGAGCCATTGTCACTGTCCTCAGCCATTGTCATCCTGAATAAGCTGCTATCTTTGTCCTCTGGAGTTTGTGAGCAGAACACTGATGTTTTGCTTGATTCCATTTCTTAAATGAAAATTATTTTAAATGGTTTTTATGAAAGCAAATAAGCTACCTTTCTGGCAATTAATGACATGCTGTTGTTTTTCTTACAGAAAATGCTGTATTATATCAGAACTATAAAGAAAAAGCTCTGGATATAGACTCTGATGAGGAGCCTGAGCCCCAAGAGCAGAAATTGGATGAAAAGGTTGTCATTCACTATAAGCCCTTGAGGTCAACATGGAGTCAGCTGTCTGTTGTGAGTATTGGATCACTGCAGAGCTAGGCAGAAGCAGAGTGCCTAGGAGCACGCTGGTGTCCTCACCTGAAGCTTGTCATCTTCCTTTCCTTCCAAAATGCTTCATGTTTCTCAGGATCCTGTTACTGTCAAATTTGCTACTGCCCAATTCATGAGAACACAGCTTAGCTTTTATTCAGGTTTTATATAAGGTAAGCCCAAAGAAACCTGAAATCATGCTTTCTGGCTCATTTTTAATAGGCATAGACAAATAGTCCTGCCAGAACAAGTGCCCCTTGGTTACTTGTTCCCATCCTGAGGCCTCCTTTTTTCTTTTGCTGGCAGGAGTGTTTGCAGGCTCCTGTGGCCACACAACAGAACAGATAGAGGATGTGCTTTGAAATAACCAAAGGGGGAAAAAGGTCTTTATATAGTATAAATAAAACATAGTATGGAGGTATAAAATTTTATTTTTATATAGTATAAAGTTTGTATATAGTATAAATAAAATTTGCACAAGAGTTTTTATTTCTGCTGATCTTTTAAGTTTCAAAAGATGCTTTATATGTTTACGCATGAGTATGTGTTTCCTACCTTTTTTTAAATCTGTGCTGGAAAAGTCATCTTTATATAGTATAAATAAAACATAGTATGGAGGTATAAAATTTTATTTTTATATAGTATAAAGTTTGTATATAGTATAAATAAAATTTGCACAAGAGTTTTTATTTCTGCTGATCTTTTAAGTTTCAAAAGATGCTTTATATGTTTACGCATGAGTATGTGTTTCCTACCTTTTTTTAAATCTGTGCTGGAAAAGTCAAACATGCATCTTGTGTTTTTGTGTGAGGCCCTGTTTTTGTGTGAGGCCCTGTTTTTGTGTAAGGCCCTGTTTTTGTGTGAGGCCGCGCTTTCCGCGGTCGCCCGCGGTGGCCGCAGGGCCCCGTCCGCGCAGGGCGTTTGCGGCGCGCGTCCCGGCGAGGATGAACCGCCCCGCGGTGCGTGCGGCCCTGCTCGGGGAGCGGCTGCTCCCAGGTAGCCCAAACAGCCTGGAATCATCATGGGGCAAAACTGTTAGCCCTAGGCCTTCCTTTTTGTTTATTTTGTCCCTAAACTTTCATTTCATGAGAACATGAGGATCTTGATCATTTATTGGTTTTTGTATAGGGAGAAGTACAATTAAGAAAGTTCATTTTGGGCTTCTTTTTTGGTTCAAAACACAGATTTGCTTATTTTAAAAAAGATTTTAATCCAGTTCCTTTGAAATTCTTCTGTCAAACTGTTTTGCTCTTCGGATTCCTGTTAGGCACCTGGCAGTGGCTGTGCAGTCAGTCAGTTTGAACTAGCTTGATGACTCTCTCTCTATTCTTTCCTACCTAAAATTTTAATTTTGGAGGAATTGTCAGTATTTCCACAATGTAGTGCAAAAAATTTTTCCAACATTTTTGAACAATTCCAGCAGATATATAGAATGATATTGTCAAAAATATAGTGTATGCATATGAAATGTGTTTACTTTCCAGCAAAGGCAGTATTGAGTTGTTTTACCATTAATCAGTGTAGAATATAAGGTTAAGCCAGATGTTTATAAGGAGAATGTATATGTTTGCACTTTGTGTGCTCGTGCCACGTGTGACAGCCACGTGTGGTCCCGAAGCACCGCTGGGTTTCCGAACGGGAGCGGCGCGGTGGCCACGCTGACCTCGCTGGGAATCAGCGGCCGTGGTATTCACAGGAAGCGTTCGGTTCTTGGATACCATCATAGGTATTTCCTCTGTCAGCATATTTTTAGAAAAGTCCTCAATGGCCTCCAGAAAACAAGTGACATTGCGCTTCCTAGGGAGTGCCCTGAAGCTTTCAGGTTGTTAACTGAAAGTGCACTTACTTCAGTTTAATAATTAGGAAGGCATCTAGCTAGTTCTTGTTTGGTGCTCCGAGGTGTATACTTGTAGAGGCGTAGGAACCTGCAATTTGTGCTCAAAAGATAAATTGCTTTAACGTACCCGAATACCTATTGACTCTTTATAAGCGCATAAAACAAAGTAACGTGCACAAACTGCAGTGCTGTATGGCAGGAGAGCAGTTCTTCACACTGTGCTGTTCCTGCTGCTGCACCTCCCATCCAGGTGTGCAGAATTCAGGGAACAGGAGGCTGGAAAAGCAGATGCGGTGGTGGAGCCTTGGGAGCTATCGCAGGAGCTGCTGGACGTCGCGGCCGGGCCGGGCTCGTCGTGCGGAGCGGGCGCAGAGGAGGCCCCGAGTGTGGGCAATGCAGCAGCATTCCCTCAGCACTGCGCAGGGTTTGCTTAGCACGAGAGCAGAGCTCCTCCAGAGTGATTTTTGGATAGGAAATTAGCCATGCGAAAAGGCCTTTAGGTGTGTTTGTTTCACAAATGAGTAGCTGAAGGGTTTCAGACCAACTCAGAAAATAAACCAAGTGATGCGGTACATGTGTAAATCATGAAACCTAAACTGGAAGAAGGAAGTTTGTTCCCGCTTCGGTGAGCGTGCAGTATCCACCACGTCGTGCAGGTGACGGGTGACAAGCTGGGAATGCGCTTGCTGAAGTGCCTCTGTGCGCGTCCTGGGACAGTTCACAGCGTGCTGGTTTGCTCTGTGGACAAGTCCATTTGGTGTTATCAAGCTGTTTATTTCTGCTAGTTTATTGCTGTCTGGAGGGGCCAGGTTCTTTAGCTGAATCCATAGTACGATACTAGAATTGAGATTTGTTAGTACAAGATTGAGAGAAAAAAAAATGCTGTTTTCTTAACAAAGCTGTTAAAATTTATATGTTTATTTACTAGGTAAAGAAGAACGGATTATCAGAAGCTATCAGCCTGGAAGAAAGGAAGAGACAGGAGGTACTCATTCAGAATTGTGTGTCGTTCCTGGGGGTTATTTCGGGACAGGCTGCAGGGCTGTGTGTCCGTAAGGAGGGCTGGGGTGCGCGGCTCCCTGTCCTGGCGTGCAGCACCTCAGCGTGCCGGGCAGGGAGCCGCGG